CACTACCTGTCCCTACGCGAGGAGCGGAAGGAGGGAGTAGAGGAAGAGGAGGAGGAGGAGGAGGAGGACTGACGAGGGAGGTATTGGATTGATGGCATGTTGTTGATGTCCCTCGCACTGTGATGATCACTACCCGTCCCTACGCGAGGAGAGGAAGGAGGGAGTAGAGGAGGGAGGAAGGAGGAGGAGGAGGAGGAGGAGGAGGAGAAGGAGGGAGGTATTGCATTGGTGGTTTGTTGATGATGTCCCGCGCACTGTGATTATCACTACCTGTCTTTACTGCGTGTTGGAAGAAGAGAAAGAGGAGGGAAGAGGAGGGAGAGCACGAAGAGGAGGAGGAGGAGGAGGAGGGGGAGGAGGAAGAAGAGGAGGTTTGATATTGCTGTTCCTCGCAGTGTATTATCACTACCTGTCCTCCGTGCCGACGAGAAGAGGAAGAGGAATAAGAGGAAGAGGAGGAGGAGAAGAGGAAGAAGAGGAAGAGGAGGAGGAGGAAAAGGAGGAGGAGGAAAAGGAGGAGGAAGAGGAGGTAGAGGAGGTAGGGAAGGGGGAGGAGGAGGAAAAAAAGAACGAGGGAGGGAGGTAGTAGATTGTTCCTGCATCTATGCTCTTAAACTGAAGGTGGTGGTAGAGGGGGGAGGAGGAGGAATAGGAGGAGGAGGAGGAATAAGAGGAGAAGGAGGAGGAATAAGAGGAGGAGGAGGAATAAGAGGAGAGAAGGAGGAGGAAGAAGAGGAGAAGGAGGAGGAGGAAGAAGAGGACGAGTGATCCAGGCCATTCGATTGCTGCTGCATCTCTGCTGCAGGCCGAAGGAAGAAGAAAAGGAACACGACGAAGGACAGGAGGAAGAAGAAGAAGAAGAAAGAAGAAGAAGGAGAAGAAAGAGGAAGGAAGGAGGGAGGTGGGAGGAGGTGGTCGTATTGCTCCTCCATCTTTGCTGCGATCCCCAAGGGGGTTGAAGTTACGACCCATCCTGGAACCCCGGGATGTTTAATGTCGATGGGGGTGAGCTGGTGCAGAAGGTGGCTATTTCGGGCCCCGTTCTGGCGTCGATCATGAATGAGCTCTGCAGCTGCTCTGCCGACGTGGATGGGCTCTTGTTTGGCCGCGTGTCAAGGCGCATGGTGACCAATCTATGTGACGATAATGAGCCTTCTCTACCCCATCAAGAGTGCATTGCCCACATCACCGGCTTTTGCTGTCCCGGTCGCCCTATGAGCTTTTACAATGGCGTCGGCCAAGTGGATTTCAGCAAGTTGCATAGCATCATGCTCACTCGTGAAAGCACCTCCCCCTCCAGCGATCCTCCCATTGGTTGGTTCTTGATCCGGCGGAACTCCCCCCTGAGGCCGTCGATGAGAGAGGTGGCAGTCTGTGCGAATCTCTCGGCTGTGAAGCCCGACTGCCCGGGCGCGATCCCGACCTTCACCCCCTGTCTCTTCTCCCTGTTCACCTCCTTCAGTTGCGACGCCAGAGCCATTCACACCTATGATTATAGGTTCTTTCAGCACTTGAAAGTGCTAGATGATAACTCCGCCGGGATGGCCCCGCGACCTGTGTCGATCGTGAATCTTGGCCCCGCCTTCCGCGGGCAGTACGACTCCTTTGCGCCGGTCTCCGCCGTTCCGCTGCTGCTGTATTCGGGGGAGGAGCTGCCATCGTCGGGGCCGCGGGGATCTGCTCCGTCATCACAAGCACAAGATCATTCGTCGAAGTTTCATCAATCTCAGCAGCAACAAGGAGGGGGGGGTGGTCTTGCTGAGGTGGTGGGGGACCACCACCATTCGGCGCTGTCTAATTCCGGCAGATCGGACGGTGCACGCAGCGTATGGACATCGTTGGGAGATGGAAGGAGGGAGGAAGAGGAGGAGGAGGGAGGAGCGCAGGCGATCCTTGATCGAGTGGCGCAGGGGTACTCGGTAAACAGCCTGCGATTGCTAACGGAGCTGAGCTGTAAAGGACACGTGGCAGAAATGGAGGCGCTCTACAATAGAATGCTTGCAAAACTCGAGGATGTGGCACACCAGGTCGGGAATGCGAATACCATTCTGATGCAAAAGGTATCGTCTTTAACAGTTCAACTCCTCCTCCTCCTCCTCCTCTTTCTCTTTGCCTGTCTCTTGTGCTGCTTCAATCTCTGTCTTGCTTCGTCTATCTTCCTTATCTTTCTTTTCCCCTTCTCATCTTGATCCGCATCCTCCATATCCTAGCCTTCTGCAGCTTCCTTAGTATATCTTCCTTCCTCCTCCTCCTCCTCCTCCTCCTCCTCCTCCTCCTCCTTTCTCTTTGCCTGTCTCTTGTGGTGCTTCAATCTCTGTCTTGCTTCAATCTCTGTCTTGCTTCGTCTATTCCTTTTCCCCTTCTCATCTTGATCCGCGTCCTCCATATCCTAACCTTCTGCATCTTCCTTAGTATATCTTCCTTCCTCCTCCTCCTCTTCCTCCTCCTCCTCCTCTTCCTCCTCTTCCTCCTCCTCCTCCTCTTCCTCCTCTTCCTCCTCTTCCTCCTCATCTTCCGCATCTTGCTCCGGTTCCCTTTCCTCCTCCTCTTGCTTCACGTCCTCCATATCCTAGCCTTCTTCATCTTCTTCATCGTCTTCATCTTCTTCATCTTCTTCTTCTTCATCTTCTTCCTTCCTCCTCTTCCTCTTCCTCTTACTTTGCTATCTTCCTCATCTTGTTCCTCTTCCTTCTCCTCCTCGCCTTCTTCTCTTCCTCCATATCCTACCCTTCTTGCTTCTCTATCTTCCTCCTCCTCCTTCCTCCTCCTCCTTCCTCCTCCTCCTTCCTCCTCCTCCTCCTCTTTCTTCTCCTCCCCTCGTCTTTCTCCACGCCCTGCATCCCCTCCTCATCTTCCACATCTTCCTCCTCCTCTTCCTCCTGCACCTTATCCTCTCCCTCCTGATAAGGATAAAGAATAAGGAATAAATGATAAATCATAAATGATAAACGGATAAGAGGATAAAAGGATAATTCAAATTGGAGGAAAAGACAGGAAAAAAAAATGATAAGGATAATAATATAATACAAGGATAGTGTTGCGCCGGAAGGAGAGGCTGGATCCGGTTCCCAGCACGTGCTGCTCCCCACGAATAGATCGGAGCAAAGGTACTTCAAAGAAAAATAAATAAAAGGGAAAAAATAAAAATAAAAGAAAGGATAATGTTGCGTTTTTCATTGGGGTGAAGGAAAAAAAAAAAGAAAAAAAAAGGACAATAAGGGTAAAGAATAATGATAAATCATAAAAGGATAATGATAAAAGGGTGAGGTTTCTAATCGTTGATGGTTGGATGGATGCCCGATGGGAGTTTGCGATATATGAATTGAATATCAGAATAAGTACCATGTAACTAAATAAATATAAAGATGTATTGCTTTATTTATAATACTCTATTTTTTCTAAGTAACTTATCAATTACTCTACATTCTTGTAGTGATGTGACAATATATAGTGCCTTGCTCCGCTACGCACACCACGTGCATAAAAAGACAAAAATAAAATATATAGTCACCACATGCATAAAAGACAAAAAAAAAAAAAAAAAGTCACGACATGCATTAAAAAACAAAACAAAAAAAAGTCACCACATGCAGAAAAGACAAAAAAAAAAGAAATAGTCACCAGACTCACCACATGCATAAATGACAAAACAAAAAAAATATAGTCACCACACATGCATAAGAGACAAAACAATGTGGTGGTGCATCTTCCCAACTTCTAGTGAAGGATTCATTCTCATTTTGCCAGTTTGGTGAGTACTCGAACGAGGCCCGTAGACCGTGCTGTGTGAAGCAGAGAGAGATTTAGCAGAGGGTGTGCGCAGAAGACGTACTGTACTATGTGTTCCTTACTATGGCGGCGTTAGCACGAAGCGCATAGTAAGGAACNGACGTACTGTACTATGTGTTCCTTACTATGGCGGCGTTAGCACGAAGCGCATAGTAAGGAATACATAGTATGGCCAGATGACATACTATGTGTTCCTTGCTACGACGGCGTTAGCATGAAGGGCATAGTAAGGAACACATAGTAAGGAACGCATAGTGAGGAACACATATAGTATGGCCAAATGACGTACTATGTGTTCCTTACTATGGTAGCTTTAGCATGAACCGCATAGTAAGGAACACATAGTATGGCCAGATGACATGCTATGATGACATGCTATGTGTGTAGTCCTTACTATGGTAGCTTTATGAGGTTCCTTAGTACTATCTATATCTTCCCATGCTACGTGCTCACACTAGCTAGAACCGCAGGCTGGCTGATGAGGTCGAATTAGGAATAGGAACATCAATCGTCAGGCGGGCTATGTCTAGAGGTCTTATTAGGAAAGCGGACGGTCATCATGAGTCTGTTCGCATTGAATTCGATGAATTGCATCACTCGTGAACAGAAATGTATACAGGCTATCTTTCTGACTCGATACAGTAATGCTGAGGGAGCGTTGTGTCGGATGAAGACGGTAGACGGAGAGGTAGCTTAATGCTTCCACGGCCGCGGCCAGGGTGGGTGAGTGGGACCACTGACACTACTGGCTGGTTCTGAATCTGCGCTAAGGGGGTGATCTGGTCAGTAAGTAGAGACAGGTTCATGCTATTGTAAGATGTACAAAGCCCGTAGAGGTTCATGCTTAATCTCGTCCTTTCGTCTTTATATAGACCGATTTGATGCTAAGTCTATATGGAATAGCATGCAGTAGACTTGGTCTCTATGGAAAACACCCAGTGTGGGAAAGTCGATAGTCTCTATGGATAGAGAATAGCGTTCGGTGTCGGCTAGTCTATAGTCTCTATCGAATAGCATGCAGTGTGGGCAAGTCTATAGTCCATATGCAATAGTCTATATGGAATGGCATGCAGTGTAGGAAAGTCTATATTCTACTATAGAATAGCATGCAGTGTGGGGAAGTCTACAGTCTATACGGAATGGCATGCACTGTGGGCAAGTTTATAGTCTACATGGAATAGCGTGCAGTCTATACTCTACATAGAATGGCATGCACACTGTGTGCAAGTTTATAGTCACATTAGACCCAACAAGAGTCGCATTAAACCACCAGTACATGCCAGATATCGGCCGCGGGTTCCTTTCGGAGGCTGCCCACCGCCGATTCATTTTATCTACTACGGCGCTCGGCCTCCTAAATTTTCGGAGAGGCTCAAAACTGGTTCGCCATCTGCCTTATTGTTCCCCACCAATAGATTGAGCAAATTTTGCAAAAAAAAAAAAAAAAAAAAAAAAAAAGGGTTGTTCAGTTGCCTGGGCCCGGTTTCCAGCAGGTGCTGCTCCCCACCAATAGATGGAGCAAATTAAAAAAAAAAAAGAAAAAAAGGTTCTTCAGTTGCCTGGGCCCATGTACTGGTGGGTTTAAAACCACCCCTCCCAACCACCCCTGCACTGTTCATTTTTCTTGTCTACAAGTGCAGTGTCAAATTCGACAGTGCCCGGGCCCCGTAGAGGTTCGGTGGCGAAGGGTGCCACAATTATTTTTCCTCATGGCGACACTGTAGAATTTAGGCTCAGGGGGGAAGGCAACTTTTGGTTTGTCAAAATAGGTCCGCATGGAGTGGGGGTACAAATCCAAGAGTCACATTAAACCCAACTGAGTCACATTAGACCCCCCAAGGGTCACACCTGAACGACATAACACCCAAAAGTCACAATAAAAACGGAAGTCGAACTCAACCACCACTACCTTTCCCTCATATGCGGCCACCACCAATCGGCCCAGCTGCCGAAATATGCAGTATATAGGGCCTGTAGGGCCTATAGGCTATATTCGCACTTTTCCCAATCAGCCCGCATTTCTCGATGGCAGCCACCGATCGGCCCAGCCCCCCGAAATATGCAGTAGATAGGGCCTGTATAGGCTATATATTCCCACTTTTCCCCACACTGGGAAAGGTAGTGGTGGTTTACAGTTAAGTGTCACGTCAAACCCAACTGAGTCACATTAAACCATGGTTACGCTGGACCCCTACCTGGACACAGCTGTACGTCCGGCCGCACTGACATCTGGAAAATTCCAGACGTCCAGAATTAAAAAAATAAAATAAAAATAAAGCAGAAGGTTCCCAAACGGGGGGTGAATTGGGCCAGACCTTTCTCAAGGCAGTATTCCAACCTGTACCCCTCTCATTCTCTCTCTCTCTCTCTCTCTCTCTCTCTCTCTCTCTCTCTCTCTCTCTCTCTCTCTCTCTCTCTCTCTCTCTC